CATCCTCTGCATCCAGTATTGGGGCGTATGCACTGATGAAAAAGGCATGAAGTGAGTGATTCAATGGGACTCAGAGCGTCATGAGGCGCTTGTTGATCCCAATAGGCATTTCAGTTAGCCTGTGTAGGATGCATTGGCGGATGGCAACGCCAACTCCATAAATAAAGTTTCTCTCCGCAGCAGGCTTGCCCTTCCAGAAGAAGGTATAGCCAGACCCCCGTTCTGTGAGTTGACCCTCGTCTGGGAGCCGACTCACTAATGGCTGCTATGTCGATGTTATACCTAGCCAACTCTTGCCACAAGAGCAGTTCTTCTTTCAGGACGCTCATTTGTGCCTGTATCCAGAAGGGGCCTGACATTCCATTCAGCGACCAGAAGAGGTTGTAATTTTAATTGTGTTTTTGACCGCATAAGGATGACCTTTCTGGGTGCGGTTGCCCAGTCAGGTTGTTTTTTTAGGCAGGCTAGGTTTACGGCACCTTTTCTAGTCCCCTCCCCAAGTGGGGTGAGCAGAGTGGCTCCTCGAAAGAGCTGCTCAGTCGCACAGACAGGACTGGATTGCACTGCTGCCTAGATCCCAGTGCATAGCTGACCATCTAATCTGTGCTGCACATGTGCAGAGTTGTGACTAGAGACTCCCTTCAGGCATCTCTGCCTGTCCTTGTCGTCATTCGTCTGTCGCTATAGAACTTTTGATGGTATACTGGTTTTGATGATGATGATGAGAGGTATGATGAGCTGGATGATGGCTGGATGTGAGTTGATTTATGTAGTGAGGTAGGAGTGCAGGTTGGAACCACACATCTTGGCTCTCCCTTTTCCTGATCTAATGGTGCAAGTGGTGCAATGACTGGGGATAGGGAAAGTTGCAATGGACTGCCGATAGCCCAGTTTGTTGGGTTTCACCTTAGTAGCCTGTCAATCATGCATTGTCTTCATCCGCCGGTGTAGTTGTTGGGTTCTCATGGTAGTCACCTCTTCTGCCTACACTGCCATTGGGGTCTTGTTGGGGTTCTGTAAGCATGTCTGCCTGATGCGTGGCTCCACCGCCGATTTTTCGTTTGGGGTTTACTCCCGTAGCCTTATAGCTCCCAAAGTTAATCCGCTAGGCAGCTGGCAATGGTTGGTAGGCTCCAAAACATGTCCACATGCCAGTGGGCGTATACGCTGTCTCTCTGGGGCCCACTGCTACTCCGAGATTCCCTGCTGATCTAGCCTGGGCCCATGAGGCAACCAGTTACCGTGTGTTGCCACGAGGAGGCACAGGGGAAGTCTTGAAGAGGCTGTGTACCGGCAGGGGATGACTTATGGAATTTGCTTTCCTGTTCACCACGAGTGTTAGCCAGCGGCTGTAGCTGAAAGTGACAGGCGCAAGCAATGCAGCCACACTAGAGGCATTACACCACCCTATGCACACACACAAAACACACAAGCACTCACTCACTCACTAAAAGAACAGCCCAGTCCCAACCATAATAAAAATTATCAACAACTTGTAATCAACCAGTGTATGTATTCACTCCGAGCCAATCTTGCCATTTTGCACTGTCACTATGTTGAAATGTGCTGTAGTACATTTGTTATTTGTCAATCAAGTGACCCATTCCCCAATTATGTAACTGTATATTTTCAGCCTTCCGGCTGCCACACTTTCAATAAACCGTTAATTATTATTATTATTATTATTATTATTATTATTATTATTATTATTATTATTATTAAAATGCATACAAATAAATAATAATGGGGAAATCCTCTCACAAATATGGTAATAATAAACACGACAACAAAATGTAATGTAGAAAAAATGTGAGTCTACCCTCAAGTCAACTCTGTGCTTTTTTATTAAAGTTGGGTTGGTTGAGTTGCCATACAGCGCCAGCTGGATTAAGAATTTCTTTCGTAGCCATCTAGCCAACCCAACATAAGGGTGTCAGTAATTGTGGTGTAATACTGTATACTTTTTCACAGTTTGTATGTAGGATGGTTTGTGCATGTAAACGAGTAAAAATAAAGGAAGAAGGTTACGTATATCTAACCGAAAATACCAGTTGAAAAAAACCATAACACCTCAAAGCTTGGCCCAGTAGCCTGGTGATTACACCGATGAGCTAACTTAGCTACAATGACATGATTAATCACTGTTAAGCACTATCAGTGAAATATGGCAGGGAGCGAGAGGAGTTAAAAATGCAGACGACGCGCTAACTAGCAGTCACTCACTCCCCATACCCACTCCCATTGCCAGGCGTACAGTACGTATGGGAGAAAAACATATTTTGTAGTCTACTATGAAAATGGTATGAGCTCAGTGATAAACAAATTACAGTATATAAACGATTCATTTTCCTACGATAACATAATAAAAAACAACTGTTATAAAGAAACAGATTAACACTCACCATTCCACGCTGGCTGTTTGTGTAGATCCTGTTTTCTTCTCCCCTGCCACTGATGAATACAGTGTAACCCCGCTTTACGCAGTCAATTGAACCCACGGAGGCCCGCGTAAACTGAACAACAGAACATATGGGATTAATTGAAATAGAGACTGGGCCGACCCCCAAACTCCACTTTTTCCCGACACAACTTTATGATGATATGCACACACACATAATATAGAAGAGAAATATCAATAAGAGAATAATATACTGTGCCAGGTAAAAGAAAAATCAAAGTTTAACACTTACGTCATGGTAGGTTAGGTTAGAAAAAATCAAGGTTTAACACTTACGTAAGGTAAGGTTAGGTTTTAAAAAATCAAGTTTTAACACTAACCTAAGGTTAGGTTATGTTAGGAAAATCAAGGTCTAACACTACTTATGTAAGGTTAGGTTATGTTAAGAACAATCAAGGTTCCTTTCTCCAACTCTTGGATGATCTTGTACTTCACCTCGTAGCTTAGGGCACGTCGTATCTTCTTTGGCTTAGGGCGGCTGGGTCCAGGTGATGCAAGGTTTTTCTGTGGTGGTGGTGGTCCGGTGGCAGCCATTCTTATGGAACAATAGATACCGATATACACGGTGTAGCCGGGAGGGGTGTAACTGACGCAGGTAGGTCAAGGGGCTTCATCCCTCCAGCGGCAGGGCACTTCATATTACATTAAACCAATCACAGCTAGCGGGGAGGGAGATAAGGATGCGTGGCCCAATTACAGTCCGATACGTCATATGACATCAACGATAACGCAACCAAGACATACACTGCGCAACCTACTCGCGCCGCTTACCCAACATGGCGGGATGGCGGGAGGTTTGAATCCCAAAATGGCTCGGCGCGAGATGACCGCCAGCCGCTCTCCTCGTATATGAGTAGATGCACCGTGTAAAGCGGGAATTCCGGTTCTGGCGGGGTACTGTGTAAATGTAGAAACGCGTAAAACGGGGTATTACTGTGTCATAATGAAAATGATAATGAAGGTGGTTGAGGGCGTTTGGGAGCCATAACAAGCACGAGGAGCACAGTTGTTACGAGAGGAGAGTAGCACACGCAAGACAGACAAATATTTAGCCTGGACTGAGGTGGAGGGAGCGGGGCATGTATGGGCCAGCCTCCCAGGACAAGAGAGACATCTTGCGGGATGCCACAAAACTCACGCGCTCCCTGTACCAGCTGCGAAAATGCCAAAAGCTTTAAAACTATCCTCAGACATTCTTGGGTACATCCAGGGTGCCATCCGCGAATAATAGATGTTCGCGAAATAAAAATCTGCGAATTATCCGGGCGTACTGTATAGTTAACGACAGCAGTAACATAGGCTTAGACTTACTAATTTCCGATACCACATTATTCTCTTTATTATGTATTAATAGTTTGCTTAATAAATACTGTACTGGGTTATAGCAGGAGATGGATTTACCTTGCCCCTTTCCCATCCCTGTTGCCACCTTCCACTACTACCTCCTTCACATATCCCCCCCCCACTCACATATCCCCCCCTCATCCCCCCTGCACCCCCCCCTCCACATATCCCCCTCCACATATCCCCCTCCATATCCCCCTCATCCCCCCCCCTCACATATCCCCCCCTCATATCCCCCCCCTCCTATCCCCCCTCACATATCCCCCTCCACATATCCCCCCCCCTTATCCCCCTCCCATATCCCCCTCATATCCCCCCTCTATCCCCCCCTCCCCTGCTCCCCCTCACATCCCCCCTATCCCCCCTATCCCCCCTCCCATCCCCTCACATATCCCCCCCCCTCACATATCCCCCTCCTCCCCCCCTCACATCCCCCCCACATCCCCCCACACATCCCCCCACATCCCCCCACATCCCCCCACACATCCCCCTGTCCCCCATCCCCACATCCCCCCCTCATATCCCCTCACCTCCCTCACACATCCCCCTCCTATCCCACTCCATATCCCTGACATATCCCCTCACATCCCCCTCATATCCCCCTCCATCCCCCCCTCACATCCCCCCACATCCCCACATCCCCCACACATCCCCCTCCCCTTTCATATCCCCCATCCTCCACATCCCCTCCCACATCCCCCCTCACACCTCCCCCCCCTCCATGTCCCCCCCTCATCCCCCCCATATCCCCTCCCCACATCCCCCCTCCCATCCCCCCTCACATCCCCTCCCTCTCCCCCACACATCCCCCCCCACATATCCCCCCACACTTTGTACTTGTACTCTCAGAGTTCACAACTCTTGGAGGTTAGGATTGACAATGCTGACTGTAGCAAGTGGAAGTGTGTGAGGGTGTACAGTATCTCTCGTGTGAAGCAGAGATTATATGTAGTTAAGTGGTGTATTTTTGCACTTACTGGCCCTACCCCCCATTTAACACTGAAACACTGTAGTACAAGTATGATTTGATACTGTACAATTTTTGTCTGTTCATATCTCATACTACAACACAACTGTACTGTATTTTGTTGACATTTCGTCCTTCAATCCTTCTATTTGATTTTAAACTGAAATTAAATATGAATGTGTGTACTGTACTATCTTATCAATTTTGTAAAAAATATTTATCTTTCAACAGGAGGATTTGCCTTGGTCTTCTTGGTTAAAGGTAGTGGAGGTGTTCGATATGCTCTGAAGCGCTTATATGTCAACAATGAGCATGACTTGGAGGTGGCCCGCAATGAGATCAATATTGCTGTAAGTATTAAATTACCTCGTGTAGTATTTTATTGTTTTATTATTGACAGTAAACTCTCCCAATACCAGACTAGGTCCTGCAAGTCCTGTCTTGTTATTTAGAGGGTTCCCTCAATAGAGAGGGTTTCCTTTTATTCCCCATGCACTGTATACGTAAAATAATAAAATGCAGGACATGTACTGTACATTACTAATTTCTCAAATCAATCCCGACTATCAAACTGTACATCATATACTGTATGGTACACTTGAGTACAGTACAGTATCAGGAATCCCAAATGCTTGGTCAAGGAGATTCCACATCAAGTTTTTGGAAGCATTCCACTTTTTCTTTGGTACTTCTTGTTTCTTTTAGCACAACTACAGTTTGTCCCAATTAACCGGAACAATTGGTGCAGAGCAATTCCGGGGATGAGAGATTTCCGGCTAACCGTACGACTTTCTCAAACCCGGAAAAATCCCCCATCCCTGGAAATATTTCCGGTTACTGGAAAAAAATTTCCGAGTATCTAAACTATGCATCTTGCACAGATAAACACTAGCCCACATCCTCATAATGTTTCTGTGTGCTGGGGAGTTTTCCAAGAGTCTAAATTAAAAATCTATATGATATGGTAGTGAATGAAGCTGTGTGTTATAGCAAGGACTGGCATTTTCCACTCCCTTGGAGCTGTGGAGGATTAGTGGATCTCATGTAACTGACCTGACCTGACACAATGTCAGGTGGAGGTAGGGTGGGGTATTAGTGGTCTCATATTACTGACCTTCTGATACAATGTCAGGTCACCCACTGTCGGGTGGGGGATTAGTAGGTCTCAGGACCCGAAGATGTCTTGAATAAACATGAAAGCTAAAATACAGTATTTTTTATACTTACACTTATCACATTGTATCCCTTCAATATTACGATACATAAGATTTTAAAATGTGGAGTGACCTTTCTGAAAGCTGTGGGTGATTAGAGAGTTGGAGTGGAAAGGAGTGAAAACATGCACCAGTGTTGCCAAGCTCCTCAACAGCTGATCTTTTAATTCACCTCCATGTAGTTAACCACGCATAAATTTGTCATACAATATGGGGGTGTTTGGGTGTGATGTTGTGGTATTAATTAATAAATAAACAATATTGTATCGTCAATGACAGTCATTTGAAGAGTAACAGCATACTACAATTGTCACTACTATTCATCAAACTACTGTACTGTCATTAACAATACAATATTGTTTATTTACTATTCATTAACTAATACCCCAACACCACATCTTACACACACACACAACATCTAGTTTACAGTTTTTTGTCCGAGACACTGAGTTGGGCAGAGGCAGGGAAAAAATATGAAGTTGTTCGCAGTCACATTTCCCGCCTCTGCTGACGGTCGTGTAATATTTCAATGTGATTCTGATCTTTTAAAATGTTGTTTTTGCATAATGTAGTATTACTGATACGTAATTTGTCTTAGTATGCCTTGTGGGTAAAAATTTGTATAGTATATACAGTGAACCCTCGCTTTACGCGGTTAATTTAACCCACGACGGCCCGCGTAAAGTGAGAAACGCGTAAAGTGAACAACAAAACATATGGGATTAATTGAAATAGAGACCGGGCCAACCCCCAAACTCCACTTTTTCAGACACAATACCTACGTTGTAGTAAAAATAACTTATTAATTTTATGATGGTATGCACACTCAATTAATAATTAAGAGAAATATCAATAATATTAGGTTTTTTAACACTTACATTAGTAGAAAAGATGGCTGGGCACACGGGGATGGGGGGTTGGTTCTGAGGCAGAGGGCAGATTATTGGCCCTCACCTGTATCACTTGTATCAATTGTATCAATTGTATCACTATCCACCACAGAGGCTTGCAGGGCCTCTTTGTCAAACCCCTCAAAGTCCATATAAGTCCATATCTTCACCATCATTATCACTATCACTGACTTGGGCCAGCTGTGGTGGGTGGCGGGTGAAGAACTCGGTAATGTTTTGATGACTGGGCGACCTTGTGCGCACCCTGCTCGCGCCGCTTACACAACATGGCGGATGGCAGGAGGTTTGGATCCAAAAATGGCGCGGCTCGCCAGCTGCTCTCCGCGTAAAGGGGTACACACACCACGGAATGTGAGCATTCCGGTTTCGGCAGGGTACCGCATAAACGTGGAAACGCGTAATGTGGGACCGCATAAAGTGAGGGTTGACTGTACTGTATTAAATGCATCTTCTGAAAGTGTGAATTTGCTACCAGAGTTTAACAGTTAATTTATGTATACAGTTGTACCCCACTTAACGCGGTCAATTGAACCCAGAGGGTCCCGCGTTAAGTGAATAACAGAACATATGGGATTAATTCCAATAGAACCCAGCCCGACCCCCAAACTCCACTTTTTGACGACAAATAACTATGTTGTAGTAAAAATTCTATCTTAACTTTATGGTGGCATGAAAAACAAGTAATATAGAAGAGGTTAGGTTAGGAAAGATATAGGTTAACATAGGAAAAATAAAGAATAGGTTAAAAAACGAAAATTTTTGAGGAACACTCACGGTAGTAGAAGAGATGGGTCGGCATACGGGGATGGAGGCTGGTTCCGAGGCAGAGGGCAGATTACTGCCCCTCAGGTGAATCACCATTACTAGGTGAATCACCATTACTAGGTGAATCAATATCACTGTCACTTACAGTTGTCATGGCTTCCCTGACAAATCCCTCAAAATCAACTTCACTATCACTATCACTGGCTTGGACTGGCTGTGGTGGGTTGCGGGCGAAGAACTCGGTTATGCTTTGCTGACGGCTGGCTTTGATGTTGTCATGATACACCGTGATGTACGGCTCCATAGCCTGCACCAGTCGGGTATGGAAGACGTCATGGCGTTCATCGTCAGTGTCGCGGGAAACGATGGACTTAATTTTTTCTGTTAACTCTATGAGACACTTAATATCACTATGACTTAAACTAGGTTCTTCGGAGAATGACGCACCTTCTTCCTCCTCTTCACTGGCGGGTTCTTCTTCCAACATCTCGTCGGCAGTCACTTCAGGATCTCTGATCACCTCCATGATGTCTTCGTTGGTGGTCTCGGAGAAGCCTTCAGCTGTAATACTGAGCGCAGCTTCTCTGGCAAGGTCCACTGCTACTGCAACAGTCTGAACCTGACCAGTCACAGGTTCACTCCTCCTCTCACCTGGTATGCCATGCAACACATGTCTCCATGCGTGACGAATCGTAGCAATAGTCAGCAGATCCCATGCCTCCACCAAGAAGTCTACAGCTTGTTTGACGTTAAACTTCTTCCAAAATTGTTTGACGAGAAGTTCTTGAGTCGCCGCCTCTTGTTCCTTGTCCTCGTCGCTTTTACTCTCGCTGTCGGTGTCACCCAGCTTAAGCAACTCATCCTTGGTGTTGGTAGAGTCGTTCAGGAGCTTGAATTTCTTTGCCGAGTATGCAGCTTTAACATTGCAGATTAACTCCTGGTCCATGGGCTGGATTAATGACGTAGTGTTGGGAGGAAGGAAGACCACTTTTACGTTGGGGTGACGATCCATAAGTAGGGGCGAGTGTCCAGGTGCGTTGTCAAGGAGCAACAAAATATTGAAAGGAACATTCTGTTGCTCGCAGAATTTCTGCACGTCAGGAACAAAACAGTTGTCAAACCAGAAGAGGACATCCACGCCTTACGTGCGGTTAGCCAGTGGACATTAAGCTTGTTCATGTCCATATTCTTGTAGGCGTGCGGCTTGCGGGCTTTGTGAATCACCGATAACTTTGGTTTACAGGTACCGGAGGCATTGGTGGTAAACAGGACGGTGATGTGTTCCTTCTGCATCTTCCGGCCCCTTACCTTGCTCGCAGACTGGACAACGAAGGTCTTGGAAGGTAACTTTTTCCAGAAAAGACCAGATTCGTCCATGTTAAACACCTGGTCGTCACTGTACTGTCCTTCCTCCATAATCTCACGTAAAAACGGAGGAAAATCTCTAGCCGCCGCACAGTCAGCACTCGCTTCCTCACCAACAATGCTGATGTTGGTGACCTTGTTCCTCCTCTTAAACCTATGCAGCCAACCATGGGAAGCATTGAAGGGTTTGGGCTCTGCAATTCCCAGTTTACGTGTCACTGCTGCGTATAGCTCACGTGCGTACTCCTGCACTGAGCGCGTGTCCACCGCCATGTTGCGTCGCGCCTGACGCACCAAATAACTCGCCAGCAAAGTTTCCACTTTTGCCAGCACCCTGTTCTGGCTTAATACCTGATAGATAAACACCTGCAGACTTGTGATCTTCATGTGCTCCTTTATCTTGGCTGCATCCTTCTTTGTGTACAGATCGTGGATTCGTTGGCGCGCTCCCCGCTCTTTAGTAGCCTTGAGATCCAACTTGAAGTCTTCCTTTTCTCCAAATCTTGAACAATTTGGTACTTCAGCTCGTAGCTGGGTCCAGGTAAGGAAAAGGTTTCTCTCTGGGGTGGTGGTCGGCGGGAAGCCATTTTGCAGGAACAATGGATGCGCGTTAACCGGCGTGGCCTTGAGAATGAAACTGCGCGTGATCAAAGCGTCGTCTCTCCTCCCTCCTCCCTCCTCCTCCTCTCCTCCCTCCTCCTCCCTCCCTCCCTCCCTCCCTCCCCGGGGTAGTCACGTCATAATACTTTAAGCCAATTACAGCTAGCAGCAGAGGGGGGTAGGGCTGCATGGCCAATCACAGTCCGAGACGTCATATGACGTCAGTGATAACGCAATAAAGACACACACTGCGCAACCTTACCGCGCCGCTTACCCAAGCGGAGGGAGGAGGAGGGAGAGGCAGGCAGGCAGGCGGGCGGGTGGGTGGCGCGTGGGCAAAATCTAAAAATAGCATCCGAGCCGGACACTCACCGCGTATATGTGGAAAAAACCCGCGTTAAGTGAAAGTTCAGCTTTGGCAAGGCACCGCGTATATGCGAAAACGCGTTAAGTGAAAGCGCGTTAAGCGGGGTAAAACTGTAATACTTCTGATAA